CCCATATAAAGCAGCAATTTGTGCAGTCACAGGAGTAGCTTATGTGAAGATGCATATACAATAGCACAGCCTTTCTATTAGTTTGTTCAGATATTGTTAGAACAGTTAGATAGATAGCGTACTATCCCTGTACTATAAATACAGGTTGTTCAAGCTTTATATGATAATGAGATCATTTTCTTCTTTTTCATCTTCTTCCGCTTATCTCTGCTAATATGGTATCAGATGTTCATCATCCTTTCTGAAGTTTCCTGATCTCATTTCACCATGGTTACTACTCGATCTTCCTCTGATGGTCTCGAATCCACTCCGGATCATCTTGTAAATCCATCGAATCCGCTGTATCTACATCCAAATGAGAATCCAACTCTAGTTCTTGTTTCAACTCTTCTTACCGAGAAGAACTATCATTCATGGAAACATCAAATGCTCGCAATGCTGGAATCCAAAAACAAACACAAATTTGTTGATGGCTCATTTCCTTCACCATCCATCAGCGATCCTCTCTACGAGTCATGGCGAAGGTGCAACCGAATGGTTATGGCATGGCTCATGAGATCTATGACTTCTCAGATTGCAGAATCAGTTGTATACTTTGACACAGCAACTGCAATTTGGAAGGATCTTTCTGCTCGATTTTCACATGGCAACATGTTTCGTATTGCTGACCTAACTGAGGAGATTCAACAAGTGCGTCAAGGATCTCTTTCGGTAACTCAATATTTCACTAAACTTCAGACTTTATGGAAAGAATTAGAACAATACCGCACTGTTTTAATCTGTAAATGTTCTCCCACTTGCTCTTGCGGAATTTTGGAGAAAATCATTAAAGAACGAGAAGATGAATGTACAATCAAATTTCTTAGAGGCTTGAATGAAGATTTTGCTCACACCAGATCACAGATCATGATAATTGCTCCTATGCCTCCTTTAAGCAGAGTTTTTTCTCTAATTCTGCAACATGAAAGGGAATTTGGATCCATTACTTCTCAGAATATTTTCAACACACCTTCATGCAATGCTGTAACTCAAATTCCATCCCAAAATACTCAATATGCTAGAGGTTCCTCTAATATAAGAGGCAATTTTCAGAATAACCGTGGTGGTGGTAGGACTCCTTCCGGTGGAAGAGGCAGAGGGAACCGTTATTGTGAACAATGTGGAAGAACAAATCACACAAAGGATACATGCTTTCAGATATATGGCTATCCTCCAGGCTATAAATCTAAAAACAACAACACTTCTGCTTCTTCATCTGCAAATATGGCTACCCTTGATCCTAATGCAAACTCTCAGTTGACAAATTCTGCAGGTACACTAGCTTCAGATCAGTTTACTTTATCTGAGGAGCAAATTCAAGGACTTATGGCACTCTTTCAACACTCTCAAATAAATTCTCAACCTGTTTCACATTCTGTCAACCAAAACCATACCAATTCTCTGGTACTTCCTGGTAAACCATCTCACCTTTACTCTTGGATCATGGATAGTGGTGCTACTGACCACATATGTCCATCCAAAACTCTCTTCTCTTTTTTGAACCCTATTCCCTCTATTCATATAAAACTGCCTAATGGTTCATCTGTCACAGCTCAACACTCAGGCACCGTTATTATAGGACAATTAACCCTTCAACATGTCCTATATGTTCCTCAATTTGAGTCTCATCTTGTTTCTATTCCAAAACTAGTTTCTTCTGGTTCATATGTTGTTCTTTTCTCAGAACTTCATTGTTTCATTTTGCAGAAAACATCTTTGAAGATGATTGGACTAGCTAACAAGTTTCAAGGACTATACTGTTTGCATTCCAAAAATAATGTAGCTTTTTCTTCTTGTAATGTTTCTGATGTTATTCCCAATGTAATCAATAAAACTACAACAGGACACACAGTTCCTGATTGTTCATCTCTAGCTTGGCATTTGAGACTTGGACATGTATCAAATACTGTTCTCAAAGAATTATCACATGAATACAATGACATTCCTTTCTCTTCTTTTCATAATTGTGATATTTGTCATTTCTCACGTCAAAAGAGAATTCCATATCCTGTTAGTCGTACCACTTCTACACATTTTTTTCAAAGAATCCATGTGGATATCTGGGGTCCATTAACAACCACATCTATCGATGGTTATAGATATTTTTTAACCATAGTAGATGATTTTAGTAGGTTCACTTGGATTCACACTCTCAAACTAAAATCAGATGTCAAATCTTTACTCATACCTTTCATTCTTCTTATTCAAAATCAGTTCAATTGTCATCTGAAATAGCTTAGATCAGACAATGGAAAAGAATTTCTTCTTTCTGAATTCTATCAAACCCATGGAATTCAGCATGAAACTTCCTGTGTTGAATGTCCGCAACAGAACTCCATAGTTGAACGAAAACACCAACACATTCTTAATACTACAAGAGCCCTTTTGTTTCAAGCCCAGCTTCCCCACCATTTATGGTCTTATGCTGTTAGATATGCAACTCACATCATTAACAGATTACCAACACCTCTTCTACATAAAAAATCTCCCTTTGAGGTTATTCATCAATCCAAACCTGATCTTCATTCTTTAAAATCTTTTGGTTGTCTTACCTATTCTAGCACATTAACTTCTGGAAGATCCAAACTGGATAGCAGAGCCAACAAATGCATCTTCCTTGGTTTCAAAACTGGAACCAAAGGATACATCTTATATGACCTTCATCATTACAACATTATCATCTCTAGAAATGTCATATTCTGTGAGAATGATTTTCCTTTCCACAATCTCAATATCACCACTCCCTATCCATACAATTTTGAAGATCACACCTCTATTTCCCAAAATCAATCTTCCAATGATCTTAACTCACCCTCACTAAATCACTCTCCTAATCAGCCCACCACCAGAACTAAAAAACCTCCTGGTTACCTAAGTTCATACTATTGCGGTTCCACCAAGTCCTCCAATACTACTCCTTATAAACTGGAATCATATCTTGACTTCTCTAAATGTTCCAATAACCACACCACCTTCTGTCATAACATATCCACTAAGACTGAACCAAAAACCTTTAACCAAGCCATCAAACATGAGTGTTGGAAAACTGCCATGAACAATGAATTGAAAGCTCTGCAAGATAATAACACTTGGTCTTTAGTTAGTCTACCTCCAGGAAAACCAACTGTAGGATGCAAATGGGTCTATAAACTCAAGTTCAAACCTGATGGTTCCATTGATAGACATAAAGCTCGTTTAGTGGCAAAAGGTTTCACTCAGACTGAAGGAGTTGATTTTTTTGAAACCTTCTCTCCTGTTGCAAAACTCACAACTCTCAGATTATTGTTATCCATAGCATGCATGAACAACTGGCATATACAACAATTGGACATAGACAATGCCTTTCTGCATGGTAATCTTTGTGAAGAAGTTTATATGAGGCCACCACCAGGTCTGCATTTACCCAAGCCTGACTTAGTATGCAAGCTTCAGAAATCTCTTTATGGACTCAAACAGGCAAGTCGCCAATGGAATCAAAAACTTACTCATGCACTCTGTTGGATAATTGATATCCATATTGTATGAATAGGAGAAATTGAACAAGAATCAAAAGGAGTAATGGAGAAGAAGGAAATGTGTATAGAATGAGTATTGGTTATATGAGTTACAAGCCTCTTATAAGGAGTATATATAGGGAAAATCCGGGTCTGGGCCTCTAATATGGGCCTGACAGACCCGGTTACATAAATGGACTGATAGTATAAAAAGCTAATCTAGAACATCTGAATAATAATAATAATGTACAATAATATTAATGATATCCGCTAAACGTGTGTGGGCCGCTGTCCAGGCCTAGTAGTCGGCATGCCGGGGGGTCGGAGTCCATATAATCCATCAGGAGTCCCCCACTCCCTAAGTCGAGAGTACTCGAGGCGAAAGGGAGTAGTCCAAACTGTATCTGCAACGTTCTTCCTCTTCGGCCGGGGGACCACCACCCTTGTCCATTATGGGGAGGTGCCTCGTTAAAAACCTTTACTAGGAAAAACCCAGTGGGAAAAAATCCTAATAAAGGGAAAAAGAGTACACCTAGCGCCCCCAACATGAAACAAGGAAGGTAAATCCCCTCCGGCATAATCAATCTAGCTCAGCTCCTTTCCAACTGACTCAGCTCTCGTTCCTGCTTTTGCGTGATATTTTCTGCTCATCAAGAAACTCTGACCCCTCAGTCCCCCAATCCCCACTCTTTGAGGCGAGTGGAGACGAGGTGAAAATGTGACACCGCTTCCGAGCGTCCTTGAAAATTTAATTTAAAATTCAAAGTTTATGTATTGGATTTCTGGTTCCCAAACATTTGTAAAACGATTAATGTTTTACGTAATTAATGATCGATGAGTGTACTGTTCGAACTCGTATATTAGTGTCGGGCATGCAAATACCACTTGGGTCTTATTAATAAATAAAAGAGCCCAACATTTTCCAAATAGTGATACATAATCTTGCAAGACAATCCGAGTAAGGTCGGACGGCCCAAACGTTATTTTGAGCCCAACCTGCTAAAATAGCAAGTATTCGAGAATGGCGTTCTAGACCCACTCGGGAGTGACCCACACGGCTAGTAGCCCAATAATATGTATGAAAAATGTCAAATAAGTGATAGGATGATTAAAGAAGAATACAAATGCCTATAACCCCACCTTTGGCCTTATTGAGCTAAATAATGGGAGTAGGATTTTCCTTCTATAATATCTATCAAGTAAATTATTGGGATGAGCCTACACATATTGGAGATCAATAATGTGATTTGAGAAGTTGACTTGTTCTAAATAAATTAGGATGAGTACAAAAAGACATCTTTTGACAAAGATAAAACAATAGGACCCATTTTCCCCATTTTTGGAAGTATTGGTAGATAATTTGGATCCCAAAATGATTGGGATCAATTGGGAACCACTCCACATGATATTAGTACCTGCAAGACAAATAAAAATGGGTTAGGAGACTTACCTTGGCCGGCCATTATGGAGAAGAGCTGCACATGACTTGATAAGAATCAAAGTTTGGGGCCACCACTCTTATTTTCGCACAAATTGGTGTGCTGTTTGTCTCCTCTCATTATAGGAGCTATCCTCAACCAAATAACGTGTATGAGGTGTCCTTGGATAGCTTTTGAAGTCTATTTTTATAATTGAGTGGTCTCAGTTCGAGAGGAGAGAGTAATCATCCAAAAATCGATCTGGAACGAGCAGTGGTCTGTGAACTCGAGCTGTGAGAGTGCTGAGACTGTTTGGTTGATATCTCGAGTTTTACCAGTCCAATTAAAGCGTGTGAGATACCAAAAGAAAGCTCTAAAGACGAGGAATCCGTGAAGGTCTGGTTTGCATCAATCGGAGTAGAGGAAGGCTTCCAAATCGCCCGAGCAGAACGCGACCTCGCAGGAACGGATTTACTCTTCTAAGTGAGTTGTTAATCCCAAATCCTTTCCATTCATTTTCCAAATGATATGAACGATTGGTGGGACTATTGTACACTAATCCAAGTGTATAATATGTCCTTGTAAAGTTATTTTTATTGATGTAAAGGTTAGATACTAACCTAGAGCAAATATTGGAAAACTAGGAATCGAGTTAGCCGGAAAACACCCGTTCTAGGGGCTGTTTTCGTATCAACGGTTAGGGGTTGAATTAGCAACTTGAGGAAGCTGTTTAACACCCATTTTCAAGCAAGGAACCAGTTCTCAATCTTCCTTGGCCGAGGCTTTGGTCATTGGATCGAGAAGGAAAGTTTTAAAGCTCATTTGAGGTGAGGATCGACATCTAGTTGCTTACAACTTGTAGGTTAAGCATGAGATTACCTAAATGCCTAAATCATGTTTTCCATGGATTATTATGATAAATTATTGATGAAATATTGATCTATTTTCCAAAGAATGAAATGGGAAGTGATTTGGTAAAGTATTGATAAAAATGGAGTTAAATGAACTATTGTGTGAAATAGGCATTTACTCACATGTGAATTGTGTAGATACATAAATGGTTATTTATGTATTACATTGAATGATTAAGTTGCTGCTACATATCTCTAAATATGTAGGGTTTTACAAATGGAATATATGATGGATAAGAATAATCTTAATAGTATTGAAATACTAGTTAATGATTGTTGTAATTGTTAAGGGAATTGAATCTAAGGATTTGATTATAATTGATGTACTTGATTGTGATGCAAGTGACAAATTTGATGTAATGTGATGCTAAGACCATGGTTGGGCAGTCCGTAGGGATGTCCCAAAATAGATTATTGATATTACAATTCTAGGCATAGTGAGTGCTTAGGAATTGGGGTCTATGCCAATGTAAGGAGATGTACTTGAGCCCGTGCTCATAGAATTGCATTGGGTAGACATGATGAGGTGATTGTTGTGCATGGTGAAATACTTGTTGTATATCTATTAGATGCCATCCACACCAGCACTTTATAGCTCTATAGAGTGCTGACCCCTTCGGGGGCGTCCCACTACCATTTTTCAGGTTGAGGCTAGAGCTTGCTTCCTGTGCTCGTTGCTCGAGTGATCATCTAGGAGGGAAGACTTGGTTCGTGCTTCCTCCATTCGGTTTTTAAACATTAATAAACATGCTCATGGATATTTTACAATGGAGCCTGCGTGCTCATGAATAGCCATGTGTGGCCCTTTTGTTTTAAACAATGTTTTCCGCTGCGTTATGAATTACTTATTATGTTTGTTTATGGATGGTTTATGTGTGAATGATATTCAAGACGCTTTGTATAATATGAATGTGTTGAACTGTGGTTGACTATTCGTATTGTACGGCGGGTTGTTGACGTGTCCGGGGAGGTCCGGGGCGTGACAATTAAGTTGGTATCAGAGCCTTAGTCCATAAACTTCATAATGAAGTCTCAAAATTCTCTTTTTGAAGATATTTTGAAAACCATGAGCATAGAAGTTTTGTACTTGGAGAGCTTTTGGTACTTGGGTTGCAAGGTCTCTAATTGTTAAGATGGTACCCTTAGCAATTGGTATGGCGGTGACTCGAGCCAAAATGTGTCTTAAGTACCTATCCGTCAATTGACATTTGATACGAGTCTAACGACTCTTTCCAAATTTCTTTCAGAAATGGACCGTGGTGGCAGGATTACTAGGAGAAACCCGACGGGCCGTGTACCAGTGGAGACTGGACAGGGCAGTCGAAGGACCTCTAGGGCATCTAGAGGAGCTGGCCGTGGAGGCCGATCACAGACCGTGAGTGACGGTCATGTTGACACAGAAAGTGAAACCTACTGGTCCTATGAGGACTCGACTTACCAACCGGGGACCGAGCCGGTTGAGACCCCTTACGAAGGGGATGACGATGATGTAAGTGATGAAGAGGGGGAGAATGACTCCCTAGCAAGAATCGAGGCGCTGCTCCAACAATATCAGCGGGAGCGCGAGGAAAGGAGGGAACGCCGGAGGCGCCGGGGAGGGCGAACTTCGGGTGGGGCTTCAAGAGGAAGGAGCCATGGCGATTCTCGGGCCCACATTGAACCACATGGGGGCCGGGGTGATGGAGGTCCAATCATAAGGATCTCCAAGTACATCAAAGAGGCACGAGATTTGGGGTGCAAACCCTTCAACGGAGCAGGCGACATCTCGGTCGCCGCGGAATGGATCAAGAGGTTGAACGAGGCAGCCCTTGATATGCAACTCACCCCCGAATTTAAACTAAGGGTGGCGGTGAGATTGCTTGAAGGGATGGCATCCACATGGTGGGATGGAGCCAAGGGAAAGTATGGCAATACCGTGACTTGGGAGAATTTCCGACAGGAGTTCTTTGCCCAATACTATTCTGATTTTGAAGTGAACGCTAAAAGGAGAGAGTATACCCTCCTAACCCAAGGTGGCAAAATGACGGTGAGGCAACTTGAACACAAATTCAGGGAGCTCGCGGAGTTCATACCGGAGTATGTGTGTGACGAGAACCGGATGGTAAATCACTTCTGGGATGCCTTAGACCTGGAGGTGCGTGAGAGGGCAACACAGTTGCCTAACATGACTTTTAGCCAAGTGGTCGAGCAAGGGTTGAAAGGAGAGAAAGAATGGGAAGAGAGAAAGTTGAAAAACGCCGAAGAGGCGAAGAAGAGAAAGTGGGAGAACCATGGACCTCAAGGTCCTAGCAAAAAGGGGAACCATGGGGGAGGGGGATCTTTTCGGACACCCCCACTGCCATCTAGGGGAAGTCAAGGCCCGGGCGGGCAATCACAAGCCTCGGGGGTGACTCGTTGCAAGAATTGCAAGAGAAACCACCTGGGGAAATGTCGTGACCCTCCTAGATGCTACCAATGCGGAAACACCGGGCACTTGAAGATGAATTGCCCACAATTGGGTGGGGCAAGGTCATCGGGACCAAGTAGTGGTAATACCGGGACACGGAATCAAGCCGGGACTTCACAAGCGTCCAGGGGGCAAGGGGGAGCAAGCACAAGCAATGCGCCGTCCGTGAATCAAGGAAGGACTCAAGCTAGGGTCTACGTGATGACGGAGGCGGATGCTCAAGCTAACCCGGATTCCGTTGCAGGTATTGCCTCTCGTATGCTAGTGTTTTGTCCTTAATTAGTCCATAAATTGAGGTTACTAATCGCTTGGATCATTGCACAAGGTTTTGGGGTCAAACCGGGGGATTTCGGGCAACTTCAGGCGGCTGGAACCCAGGCACGATCGTGCCTAAGGCAGACACGATCGTGCCTCCAAGTCAGTAGCTGCCCAGGAATTTTCCAGCCCAGGCACGATCGTGCCTAAGGCAGACACGATCGTGCCTACAAGGCAGTAGCTCCCCAGGTGTTTCTCCAAACCAGGCACGATCGTGCCTAAGGCAGACACGATCGTGCCTCCAAGGCAGTAGCCCCCAGGGCTTTTTCCTGAGCCAGGCACGATCGTGCCTACCCCAGGCACGCCGTGCCTGGCACCCAGATTGCCGAAATGTGATTTTTTCGCACCGTTTTGCGACGTTAAGACCTTTTCTTGATCCCTAACATGCGTGTGAACATTGTAACCTCCTATAGATGAGTAGGGAGGGTAGGAAAAAATGTCTTACATGGTTCATGAATGTAGGGACACTAAAGATTAATGGGAATGATGCGCGAATCCTTATCGATACCGGGGCGCAACGTTCATTTGTGAATGAAGCGTTCGCCAAGAGATTGGGAGTGCAATCCGCACCATTGATGCAAACCTTAGTGGTATCAACACCACTAGGGGACGACGTGGAAAGAACTTGTTACTATCCATCTTGTGGGGTGGAGGTTAATGGTCAGACCTTAACGTGTGACTTCGTACCGCTGAGCATGATTGAATTCGATGCAATCCTAGGGATGGATTGGCTAGAAAGGAACCATGCTAGTGTAGATTGCTACACGAAGGTTCTTGAACTCGAAGGCAATGATGGGGAGACCCTACGCTTCGAGGGCGATCGAGGGAGATCAAATAGCTGTATCATATCCGCCGTGAGAGCGAGAAGTATGATGAGAAAGGGATGCCACGCATATCTAGCATACGTGGTTGACAAAACCAAAGAAGAAACGAACATCAACGATGTGAGGGTGGTTTGTAAGTATCCGGATGTCTTCCCAAAAGATTTACCGGGACTTCCACCCGATAGAGAGATTGAATTTGTGATCGAGGTCGAGCCCGGCACCAAACCAATCTCCATACCGCCATACCGTATGGCACCCGCTGAACTTAACGAGTTGAAAACCCAATTGCAAGAGCTTTTGGATAACGGTTTCATTAGACCAAGCCACTCCCCGTGGGGAGCACCGGTTCTTTTTGTGAAAAAGAAAGATGGGACACTTCGAATGTGCATTGACTATCGTCAACTGAACAAGGTCACAATCAAGAATAGGTATCCTTTGCCTAGGATTGATGACTTGTTTGATCAACTACGAGGGGCAACCGTGTTTTCGAAGATTGACTTGAGGTCGGGGTACCATCAATTGAAGATTAAGGAAGACGACATACCAAAGAGTGCTTTCCGCACAAGGTATGAGCATTTTGAGTTCCTTGTTATGTCGTTTGGGTTAACAAACGCCCCAGCGGCATTCATGGACTTGATGAACCGAGTATTCCATAAATACTTGGATCGATTCGTGATTGTGTTCATAGATGACATCTTGATTTACTCAAAGAGTGAGGAAGAGCATGAAGAGCACTTGATACTCGTTCTTGAGACACTACGGGAGAAGCAACTCTATGCCAAATTTTCTAAGTGTGAATTTTGGCTAAAGGAGATTGGCTTTCTCGGGCACGTGGTTTCAGGATCGGGAATTGCTGTTGATAACAAGAAGATAGAGGCCATTACCGAATGGGAGAGGCCGAAGAACGTCAAAGAAATTCGTAGTTTCCTTGGATTGGCAGGCTACTACAGAAAGTTCGTGGAGAAGTTCTCTGTTTTGGCATCACCATTGACGAAGCTCACTCGTAAAGGAGCTAAGTTTGTATGGGATGACAAATGTGAGAAAGGGTTCATGGAACTAAAGAAGAGATTGACCGAGGCACCGGTACTTGCATTACCCAAACAGGGTGTGGGGTACGATGTCTATAGCGATGCGAGCATCCAAGGGTTTGGGTGTGTGTTGATGCAGGAGGGGAGAGTAATTGCCTATGCTTCACGACAGTTGAAGAAGCATGAGGTAAATTACCCTACCCACGACCTGGAGCTGGGAGCAGTAGTGTTTGCACTGAAGATTTGGAGACATTATCTCTACGGAGAGACATGTCACATATATACTGATCATAAGAGCTTGAAGTACGTGTTTACTCAGAAAGAGTTAAACATGAGACAGAGATGGTGGATGGAGTTGATAAAGGACTATCATCTAGTTATTGAGTACCATCCAGGCAAGGCAAACGTTGTAGCAGATGCCCTGAGTCGGAAGAGTTCGTCTGGGGCATTGTTGACTAGTTTGAGGGCACTGAGGGCCCAATTGGATGTATCTAGCGACGGTGCCTTATTGGCACGATTTGAAGTGAGACCGACCTTACTTGATGAGATCAAGAAGGGTCAAGCGACTGACGCAGAACTTATGAAGGTCCGGGAACGCATGCAAGCGGGACCGGTGGAGGATTTCAGGGAAAGAGATGATGGTCTCTTGTTATTTCGTGACCGAGTGTGTGTACCGTCAGATGAGGAGCTCCGAAAGTCCATCTTAGAGGAGGCTCATTCATCGGCTTATGCCATGCACCCGGGGGGCACGAAAATGTACCGTGACTTGAAAGAAAGTTACTGGTGGTCTGGGATGAAGAGGGAAATAGCCGAATACATTAGTCGATGCCTTACTTGTCAACAAGTTAAGGCGGAACATCAGCATCCAGCAGGCTTATTGCAGCCACTTTCCATTCCTGAATGGAAGTGGGAACACGTGACTATGGATTTCGTGGTAGGTTTACCACGGACAATCAGGAACTATGATGCAGTTTGGGTCGTTGGGGATAGGCTCACAAAGAGTGCACACTTCTTGCCTATCAACACTACCTACCCACTTGAGAGGTTAGCCAAATTGTATACGGATGAGATCGTGAGGCTGCATGGGGTCCCAGTGACCATTGTATCCGATAGAGACCCACGATTCACATCACGTTTTTGGCCGAAATTTCAGGAGTCTATGGGAACGAGGTTGAAGTTCAGTACTGCTTTCCACCCACAGACGGATGGACAGTCTGAAAGAGTCATACAGATCTTGGAAGACATGCTGAGGGCTTGTGCATTGGAGTTCCAAGGAAGTTGGGACAACCACTTAGCACTTGTGGAGTTTGCCTATAACAACAGTTATCAGGCCAGCATCGGCATGCCTCCATACGAGGCATTGTATGGGAGGAGGTGTCGTACACCGTTATGCTGGGACGAGGTTGGCATGGCCAAACTCGAGGGTACTGAGTTGGTTGAGGTCACCAAATCAAAGGTGAAATTGATTCGAGAGAGACTCAAAGCGGCTCAGGATAGGCAAAAGAGTTATGCAGATAAGCGTCGAAGAACCTTAGAGTTTAAGGTTGATGACGAGGTATTCTTGAAAGTTTCTCCTTGGAAAGGAATCATTCGATTTCAAACCCGAGGGAAGCTTAACCCACGGTACATAGGTCCATTCAGAATTATAGAGAGGATTGGGGCCGTTGCATATCGTCTACAGTTGACTCCTGAGTTAGAGAAGATACATAATGTGTTTCATGTATCCATGCTTAAGAAGTATGTGCATGATCCCTCTCACGTATTGGAGAAGCCACCTGTAGAGGTACGTGAGGATTTGAACTACGCTGTTCAACCTATCAAGGTCACCGATAGAAAGGTGAAGAAACTGAGGAGTAAAGAAGTTCCAATGGTTAAAGTCCTTTGGAAGAGTGACCGGGTCGAAGAAGAGACTTGGGAAACAGAAGCTTTGATGAGGAAGCAGTATGCATTCCTATTCGAGTAGAGCCGTGAATTTCGGGGACGAAATTCCTGTTAAGGGGGGGGTGAACTTGTGACACCGCTTCCGAGCGTCCTTGAAAATTTAATTTAAAATTCAAAGTTTATGTATTGGATTTCTGGTTCCCAAACATTTGTAAAACGATTAATGTTTTACGTAATTAATGATCGATTAGTGTACTGTTCGAACTCGTATATTAGTGTCGGGCATGCAAATACCACTTGGGTCTTATTAATAAATAAAAGAGCCCAACATTTTCCAAATAGTGATACATAATCTTGCAAGACAATCCGAGTAAGGTCGGACGGCCCAAACGTTATTTTGAGCCCAACCTGCTAAAATAGCAAGTATTCGAGAATGGCGTTCTAGACCCACTCGGGAGTGACCCACACGGCTAGTAGCCCAATAATATGTATGACAAATGTCAAATAAGTGATAGGATGATTAAAGAAGAATACAAATGCCTATAACCCCACCTTTGGCCTTATTGAGCTAAATAATGGGAGTAGGATTTTCCTTCTATAATATCTATCAAGTAAATTATTGGGATGAGCCTACACATATTGGAGATCAATAATGTGATTTGAGAAGTTGACTTGTTCTAAATAAATTAGGATGAGTACAAAAAGACATCTTTTGACAAAGATAAAACAATAGGACCCATTTTCCCCATTTTTGGAAGTATTGGTAGATAATTTGGATCCCAAAATGATTGGGATCAATTGGGAACCACTCCACATGATATTAGTACCTGCAAGACAAATAAAAATGGGTTAGGAGACTTACCTTGGCCGGCCATTATGGAGAAGAGCTGCACATGACTTGATAAGAATCAAAGTTTGGGGCCACCACTCTTATTTTCGCACAAATTGGTGTGCTGTTTGTCTCCTCTCATTATAGGAGCTATCCTCAACCAAATAACGTGTATGAGGTGTCCTTGGATAGCTTTTGAAGTCTATTTTTATAATTGAGTGGTCTCAGTTCGAGAGGAGAGAGTAATCATCCAAAAATCGATCTGGAACGAGCAGTGGTCTGTGAACTCGAGCTGTGAGAGTGCTGAGACTGTTTGGTTGATATCTCGAGTTTTACCAGTCCAATTAAAGCGTGTGAGATACCAAAAGAAAGCTCTCAAGACGAGGAATCCGTGAAGGTCTGGTTTGCATCAATCGGAGTAGAGGAAGGCTTCCAAATCGCCCGAGCAGAACGCGACCTCGCAGGAACGGATTTACTCTTCTAAGTGAGTTGTTAATCCCAAATCCTTTCCATTCATTTTCCAAATGATATGAACGATTGGTGGGACTATTGTACACTAATCCAAGTGTATAATATGTCCTTGTAAAGTTATTTTTATTGATGTAAAGGTTAGATACTAACCTAGAGCAAATATTGGAAAACTAGGAATCGAGTTAGCCGGAAAACACCCGTTCTAGGGGCTGTTTTCGTATCAACGGTTAGGGGTTGAATTAGCAACTTGAGGAAGCTGTTTAACACCCATTTTCAAGCAAGGAACCAGTTCTCAATCTTCCTTGGCCGAGGCTTTGGTCATTGGATCGAGAAGGAAAGTTTTAAAGCTCATTTGAGGTGAGGATCGACATCTAGTTGCTTACAACTTGTAGGTTAAGCATGAGATTACCTAAATGCCTAAATCATGTTTTCCATGGATTATTATGATAAATTATTGATGAAATATTGATCTATTTTCCAAAGAATGAAATGGGAAGTGATTTGGTAAAGTATTGATAAAAATGGAGTTAAATGAACTATTGTGTGAAATAGGCATTTACTCACATGTGAATTGTGTAGATACATAAATGGTTATTTATGTATTACATTGAATGATTAAGTTGCTGCTACATATCTCTAAATATGTAGGGTTTTACAAATGGAATATATGATGGATAAGAATAATCTTAATAGTATTGAAATACTAGTTAATGATTGTTGTAATTGTTAAGGGAATTGAATCTAAGGATTTGATTATAATTGATGTACTTGATTGTGATGCAAGTGACAAATTTGATGTAATGTGATGCTAAGACCATGGTTGGGCAGTCCGTAGGGATGTCCCAAAATAGATTATTGATATTACAATTCTAGGCATAGTGAGTGCTTAGGAATTGGGGTCTATGCCAATGTAAGGAGATGTACTTGAGCCCGTGCTCATAGAATTGCATTGGGTAGACATGATGAGGTGATTGTTGTGCATGGTGATGTAGTCGAGTTGGACTCGAGAAATGCACGGTGGAGTAGTTAGCTTATGTTAATTAAGGTGCATGGTGATGTAGTCGAGTTGGACTCGAGAATGCAAACATATGTGTTAGGGTTGAACCCTATGTATTGTTGTGACTAGGGGTCACGGGGTTTTGGGCTATGTTTGATAAACAAACCTTGGGCCTACGGGCCGACTACTTGACTTTATATATAAAGTAAGTATATTTTTGAAAAGGGGTAACTTGGGGTTACGGCCTAGATTATATTATCACCCTATTTGAGGGTCTTGTGTTTGAAATACTTGTTGTATATCTATTAGATGCCATCCACACCAGCACTTTATAGCCCTATAGAGTGCTGACCCCTTCGGGGGCGTCCCACTACCATTTTTCAGGTTGAGGCTAGAGCTTGCTTCCTGTGCTCGTTGCTCGAGTGATCATCTAGGAGGGAAGACTTGGTTCGTGCTTCCTCCATTCGGTTTTTAAACATTAATAAACATGCTCATGGATATTTTACAATGGAGCCTGCGTGCTCATGAATAGCCATGTGTGGCCCTTTTGTTTTAAACAATGTTTTCCGCTGCGTTATGAATTACTTATTATGTTTGTTTATGGATGGTTTATGTGTGAATGATATTCAAGACGCTTTGTATAATATGAATGTGTTGAACTGCGGTTGACTATTCGTATTGTACGGCGGGTTGTTGACGTGTCCGGGGAGGTCCGGGGCGTGACAGAAAATGAGTAAAGTCATCTTCGTACCTACACATTTATCATACATATAAATTTTTTTCTTGGGATTTATGTTCCCGAACGGGAGTTCGTCACTTGAAACAAGTGGAGATGTGAATTGTTAATGTAATGATAAAATACTTAGTAGAATGGATGTGTGAGCCATTCATAAGCAACGGTCGCCACTCGAGGAATGACTAAGACCGGTCTTCGTGCCTGAGAGGTCAGGGCTTTGTGCCTGGATCAGGGCCAGGGCTTTGTTCCTGGATCAGGGCCAGGGCTTTGTGCCTGAGAGGTCAGGGCTTTAAATCATAGTGATGGGTCTCAATCCACACTCTACTAGGCATTTGATCATAAGTGCGTGAAAGTGTGACATTTATTGACAAAAAGTGATTTAAATAAATATAAATAATATAAGAATTAAAGAGTACTTATCTTTTTCAAGTGGACTGAATTTGAAGTGTTGTTAAAATTGTGGCCCATCCTCAGTTTTGGAGTGTAGCCTTGGCCCGCTGCTCAAAGCTTGGCCGATAACTCCCCAGCACACTTAAGAGTTGACTCGGTCAACTGGGGCATATACACCGCACCCTTCTAGCTTCTGCGAACGACACAGACAAGCCAGGGTGTATGTATCTTGGTATCTGCTACCGACAGAAAGGGGAGGTGATGATATCCACTGGGCTACAGGCTGTTAATGCCTAACCAGCCCCCCTTCTAACGTGCTCCTGCCGGCTTTCCTCTCCGGTAAGCAGATCTTGCCTGCAACCAAGACCCAAGAAAGCAGTACACTCAGGCAGATGACGCAGCTACTGAGGAAGACGACGGCGAGGCCCTCTCAGGCTATACTTCCGGCGGAGTTCCCTCAGGTTGATCCGGAGGCAGAGCAAAAAACGATCAGGAGCAGCTTGCTAGAGCTCAGGTAGCGCTGGCGAAGGTTCTTTAACGTCGGCAACAACTGATACGCCCTTCAAGCTGGGTCAGCAGTGGAGTTCAGATCTTTTACTCCTGGAGATTTTAGCCGCCATTAATGGCTGACGTTTGGGATCAATCTCGAGCAACTGACTCAAACGACGATGGGGATGTCAATTATGCCCCTGGTTCCGACCTTCGAATTACGGTGGGGATGAACAGAGCGCCGGAGGTCCCACATCGATCTCAACGTCATTGTGGACAGTTGGGTGGGCGCAGATCCGTATCCTCCGCTAGGCTTGGAGCAGAGGCGAGGTTGAGGCGAGGTTGAACTCGAAATGGAGATGACGAGGCCTCTTTTATTGAAAGCAGAGGCAAAATAGCAGAGAGCGTCTTTAGTTCTTTACTTCTCAGCAGGTGCCGGCTCATGGCAGACGGTGCACGGCGGCGGTGTTGACGGTGGACGGCGACCCGGATCTCTGACTTCCACATTTTTTTCTTGTCGTTCGTTCCAGATCTGTTTAGCTTCAGTTTGGAAAGAACAGTGAACAGAGAGGCGTTGATATGAAGCTAGAGGTCACTTCGAGCTACCGATGCCATCGTTATGCGGTGAGGTACGGCCGGCTGCTCATGCAGTTCACGAGATCCACGGCGTGGACGACAGGCTTAGACCTGGGATTTCCAGATTTTCGTTTTCCTTCCTTGATGTATTCGAACACATTTTCGGCCATAATTTTGTGATTGAGATGAATTTTTGGATATTTGGGGAGGTTTTCTCACTTGATTGTGTTCAACCTCTCAATGAGAGCACCATTGTTGGATAATTGATATCCATATTGTATGAATAGGAGAAATTGAACAAGAATCAAAAGGAGTAATGGAGAAGAAGGAAATGTGTATAGAATGAGTATTGGTTATATGAGTTACAAGCCTCTTATAAGGAGTATATATAGGGGAAATCCGGGTCTGGGCCTCTAATATGGGCCTGACAGACCCGGTTACATAAATGGACTGATAGTATAAAAAGCTAATCTAGAACATCTGAATAATAATAATAATGTACAATAATATTAATGATATCCGCTAAACGTGTGTGGGCCGCTGTCCAGGCCTAGTAGTCGGCATGCCGGGGGGTCGGAGTCCATATAATCCATCACACTCATTCATACTGGCTACACACAAAGTTCTGCAGATTATTCCTTATTCATCAGAAAATCTGATTCTCAATTCACAGCAATTTTAGTCTATGTAGATGACATCATAGTTGCTGGCAATAACTCAAATGAAATAACCAGAGTCAAAACATATTTACATAATGAGTTTCACATTAAAGATCTTGGGAATCTCAAGTATTTTCTTGGACTGGAAGTAGCTCGCTCCAAAGCAGGTTTACTTATCAATCAACGAAAATACTGTCTAGAACTCATTGATGAGTTTGGTCTCACAGGGTGTAAACCAGCTCCTACACCAATTGATCCCTCACACAAGTTGACTTCAGACTCTGGCATTCCATTAGACAATCCTACATCTTTTAGAAGACTGATTGGCAGACTCATATACCTGACCAATACAAGACCTGATATCTCGTTTGCAGTACAACACCTCAGTCAATTTGTTTCAGATCCCAGGGATACACATTTCAATGCTGCATTAAGAATTCTCAGATATCTCAAAAACTCTCCAGGACGTGGTCTGTTCTATTCATCTTCCAATACTTTCACTATTCAGGCTTTTTCTGATTCAGATTGGGCCACATGCCCTAACACTAGAAAATCCATTACAGGATTCTGCATATTCCTTGGAAGCTCTCTCATATCATGGAAATCCAAGAAGCAAAGCACAGTCTCAAGATCATCTTCTGAAGCTGAATATAGAGCTTTAGCATCTTTATCTTGTGAATTGCAATGGCTTCAATTTTTGCTTCAAGATTTAAACATCACTGTTAAACTTCCATTCTGTGTTTACAGTGATAGTCATTCAGCCATTCAGCTTGCTAAAAATCCTTCCTTTCATGAACGAACAAAGCATGTAGAAGTGGACTGCCATTTCATTCGGTTAAAGATTGATGAAGGACTCATCAAACTTTTCTTTGTTCCTTCTGATCATCAAGTTGCTGATTCTTTCACTAAAGCTTTATATCCCACAGCTTTTCAACAGGGTATCTCCAAGCTTGGCCTTCATTCCATATACGATCCAGTTTGAGGGAGGGTATAAACTAAAGCAGCAATTTGTGCAGTCACAGGAGTAGCTTATGTGAAGATGCATATACAATAGCACAGCCTTTCTATTAGTTTGTTCAGATATTGTTAGAACAGTTAGATAGATAGCGTACTATCCCTGTACTATAAATACTGGTTGTTCAAGCTTTATATGATAATGAGATCATTTTCTTCTTTTTCATCTTCTTCCGCTTATCTCTGCTAATAGCCCATGTTCAAGTAAAAGATTGATAATTAACAGCTCTTGGACAAATGTTGAATGTTCAAGTTGTACCCAGTCCACAATTGTTTCCCATGCTTCATTCTCATACACCGTAAAAATATTAAATTGAATTTTTGTTTTTTTGGATGAAATGGAAGTATATAAAATGGGAAAATAACTTTAAATAATACCAACTATCATTAATAAATCAATAATAATACAAACTTCGAAAATGATTTTTAATAATACCAACTATTTGAATGTAAAACAAAAATAATACGGAGTTATTTTTTGACAAAAAAATCGATCATTTAAGAAATCAAAAGCTAATGACAACCCATCAAATAAATGATATTTTGAAATATATTCACTAATTGGATATTTTGATACAAGTTTTTGATGATTTAAATGGTTGAATTTTTAGTAAAACAAATGCTCTATATTACTTTTGGTATATATTTAACTAGTTGGTATTATTAAAACTTATTTTCAAAGTATGTATTATTCTTGATTCACGGAAGATAGTTTGTATTATTTAAAATTATTTTTCCTATTAAAATCATCCAAAAGTAACAAATACTCGTATATGTATAAAAAATAATTATCTAAGCTAGCAAGCCAACCTAAAATAATACTCCGTATCTACCATATCCCCAACCACCTTGCAGCAGGGGTAAGGACTACGTAGAGAGAAATATTAAACTGAATATTAAATATGCATCGTTTCTCTAAAAATGAAAAAAAAAAAAAATAGTCGTTTTGAACTATGATATTTTACCTTTTTTTTTAAATTACATTAATACAAGTTCATGGTCTATTATTAAATCTCGTGATTTATCATTTCTAATTTCTAAAATGTCTTTAAAATATAAATAAAATTACTTTTTAGAAGGAGTGTTCATGGATAGGGAAGGACCCGGTTCTATGCATATCCAGCCTTGGGCCGGTTCTGGTTTGGGACCAGAACCGTCAATTACTTTGTTTCTGGGCCAATTCCGATACTGGGCCCGAACCTGTGCCTTTTTTAATAGGAGTATATATTTTCGAACCTCCTGGTTTGCAAAAGAAGCAGGAGAACTTCTGTTTCATACGAAAGCTGTCTTCTCTCTCGCTTGTTCTTCTGCAAAACCCTAATCACCCCCTAAAAATTCGGCTGCTGCACTCACTTTCGCCGCCGATTAACTTCCATGGGTGGTCAGAAGAAGACGCCCAACGAGAGGAATCCGCTGCAGCGTGTTAAGGTCTATCGTCTAAATGATGATGCAAAGTGGGATGATCAAGGCACAGGGCATGTAACTGTAGATTATCTGGAGGTGCCGAGATCTGAAGAAGTTGGCTTGCTTGTAGTTGATGAGGCTGACAATGAAACACTGCTTATTCATCGCATCAGCTCAGAAGATATTTATCGCAAACAAGAAGACACCATAATTTCTTGGCGAGATCCAGAGCATTCAACTGAACTGGCCCTCAGCTTTCAAGAGACAACTGGATGTGCTCACATATGGGAGCAAATTTGTAGTGTTCAAAGAAATATGCAGATTCCTACATACTCCATCCCTCCTCCAAACAACTTCTCCATTGCTTTTCACACATAAGGAAATAAATTTATTATTGGGAGTAAATTTCATTGTTTGGACACTGTTTGACACTGTTTTGATATAGATAATTTGTCAAATAAGGAAAGATGAACTTAATTCAGAGACTGCCCAAAAAGGAAATAAGGAACTTGTTTATATATTAGGCAGATTCCTAAATATATATTAGAATATTATAATAGTCTAATATATATTTAGGAATCTGTCTAATATGTATTTAGGAATCTGCCTAATATATACTCTGTATTTAGGAATCTGTCTAATATTTATTTAGGAATATTTTGTATTTTGACAACTTTTCTGTTATAAATATATCTGTCAAGACTCCTATTGGAGTATTCTTTCTCATTATTTCACGTGGTATCAAGAGCTTTAAGTTTTTAGGTACAATTAATTTTTTTTCTTTTTTTTCCGGTTCCCATGAGCCCTAGTACCGCCGCCGTCGCATCTAGGTCGACTGCCGCCTCATCTACGGTAGTCTCCGATCCTTTGAGGATGGGCGCAACTGATATGGTGCAAATCACCTTTTCTGCGTCGCTGATCACGGTGCTTGCTTCTAGTGTGGTGTTGATTCACCGCCTACTGGTGCCTACGTTCACGCAGCCCACCTTCTCCGCGTCGTTGAACACGGTGTTTGCTTTCAGCGCATCGTTGAGTTCGCCGCTTTCTGCTGCAGATATTGATTCTCTACTTGCTCATGAAAATCTTATTGCCAAATATGTTTCTCCTAATCTTCTGCTTGCAAATATATTTACCAAGAGTTATTCCAATTTGCAATTTTATTTTTAAAAGGCAACCTGCGTATTGTATCTCCCGACATTTTGAGGGGGTGTAATAGCCTAACATATATTTAGGAATTTGCTTAGTATATATCTAGGAATCTGTCTAATATTTATTTAGGAATACTTTGTATTTTGGCAACTCTTCTGTTGTAAATATATATGTCAGGACTTCTATTGGAGTACCTTTTGCCATTATTTCACACTTAGATCTCTTTTAAAATGCTTATAACGCTTGTAATAAAAAAATAAAACTAAACTAGAACTGGACTGTTGGTCTGGTCGGTCTTGGTTCCCAAATCCCACAACCGAGACTGGTACCTTGTTACCTGTAGCCTGTAGGTCTGGTGCCACCCACAAAGGTTTCGGTTCAGTTTTGGGAACATACCATTTCCGACCAATCGAGTAACGTGGATTGCTTCCATCTCGAGGACTTTTCTTGTCCAGACGGCCTGACGGGAACCGCCGTCTGGCTCAGGGCATTTCGGGCAATTCCCGTTAAAATTTTTTGATAAAATTTTTTGAACATGTTCTTCATGAAATCTAGTTTATCCATACCAAATTTTAGCGCAAAATTCGATCGGGAAGGCATTCAAATAATATTTTGAAGTTAACTGTGTCAAAGTATACATATAAAAACCCAGTCAACTTCAAAAAATTATTTAAATGCCTTCTCGATCGCATTTTGAGCTGAAATTTGGTATGGATAAACTAGACTTGATGAAGAACATGCCCAAAAAATTTCATAAAAAAATTCCATCGACAAGTGCCCGAAATGCCCTCGCCCGGACGGCGGTTCCCGTCAGGCCGGCTGGAGGCGAAAAGTTGTCCTTCCATCTCTATTTCACGATTTTGTTGGTTAGTCCATATAGTATTAAAATCCAAGTTTTAAATAATTGTAATGTATAGTCATAAATCTTATTCAGCAAGATTTATACAAAATTGTAATTGATAACCATAATCATGAGAGCTCAAACTAAAGATAGTCACTCGGATGATGATGATGAAGAATATATATGGACCGTAAATATGTAATGGTGTTCAACTATTTATCTCTATACTCAAGAAAATATTGAGGCTTGAATGGTTTAGGCAAAAATACATGAAAAAATTACATAAATATGACCAAAATAAAGATGATTTACAAAAATGTGATTAATGGCTAGAGTAGTAATGAAATCATAGTAACTCATGTTCAAAAATGATTTACAAAAATGTGATTTACAAAGATGATTTAGGCAAAATACATTATTGTCATATTGTTAGATTTAGGCCGACAGACGCTCTTCCCGTAATGGTTTAGTTATGTGATTATCAATAAGAATCGAGAATAAATAGTTACATATCACAATTTCGCGCATCTATTTATTATATAAAAAAAGTAGCACATCTATTTAGATTGAATTTATTATATGTGATGATGACAGTAATCCGACCACAGAGTCATAAATGCTATTTGTGATTCTTAACTCCTTTAACATTGTTCACAAGCAAGCACGATGAATTTTATTACGTACATGTACCATTGTAGTCGTTAGTCATTTGAACTAGTTCAATAGATCTTTAACATTCATCCCTGGCACCTTACACGTGAAATTCTAGTAGAGATAATTCCGAAATAGACGACATGCGGAGTAGGTAAGATATGAGAAGTGAGAATTAGATGGATTAATTGTCTTTCAATAGATAGACTTATGACTTCTAATGTTTTTCCATATGTGATGTGTGTGCCACACCAAGCTCCACACGGTTTTTATCAAACAACCGTGTTACTTGTACAAAAATTGCACACATTTCGTGTACACATGCAACTTCTGAACGAATTGCTTGTGTACACAGACGACAAGGAGTGTGTACAAAAAACATGTACAAATTTCGTGTACAAATAACTTTGTTCTTGATAAAATCATATTTGTCTTCACCGCACCATAAAACTTATGTCTTCCAGTGGTTTCCTCTATTAATATTCTTATTAGAAGGCCGATTAGTAATGCTGAAATTTATTAAGTTCTTGTTGAAATAATGGGATTAGTTGATTCGGTTGATTTATTAAAAAAATTATATTTAACATATATTTTATTAATAAGATAAGAAAATATATACTACTAGTTAATATGATATTTTAATTTCAACTGATGTACGGACAAAATGTAACTTCCATCTTAATTTGATGAAAATTAGGCGTATAATGTAGCCAAAACAGGGTTAACGGGCTCTAGATTTGGGGGCTTGGCGCCTTCTCGTCACGCCCCAGGGTTAGAAGTTAGAACAATGATGACTTTAAAAGGATAACACTCACACTCCGTAACATCCATTAAAGCATAGCTTAAAACTAAACTGTTTGAAATACTTTCAAAATTTCCCAACAAAAACATAGTTTCCGAGGAGAAAGGAGACCTAGTGGGATTTCTCACGTCGCCGGGCGCCGAACTTCCAAGCCTACGGCTGCTATTCATCGAAAGTCGTCGTCTTTCACCCTGTAAAAATGCTATTTACGTTATATATTTGATATATAAATATTTTGCTCGCTTATGTGTTCGATTTAAGTACCATCAAGGACCAGATTACCGAAGTTTTATCAAGTCTATAAGGTGTTTGCAAAAATGCTTCAATGAAATTTTCTATTTGAAGAAGAACTATCACTTTTTACATGGACAGTTGGACACCCTCATTAACTTAATATAAGCTAGACGGCCTAGACCCATGTAACAATCACAACACTGGAGAATAAGGACAAGCACATGCGTTATCATGCATGTACTTAATTATAGTCATATTATGTACTTGCGGTTTCTGTTAAAAAATCATGCCTTTCCAATCATTCTTTTGACCTAAAAATGTATTTTTCAATGCTACACTCATGGTATATATATATATTTAAATGATTTGTATCACTGAACATGACTTTACTTGAGTATGCAAAAATCATTCCAAATTCTTGATTCCCTTTTTTGTTCCTGCATTTTTCCGCATCTACTATTTGCGGCATCTTCTGCCATGTATAACCTCTACAGACTAGAGGTGCAAGACATATGAGTATATGACACTGGCTTATACATGAGCTCCAAAATTTGATGTTTATTTTTTTATTTTGGCATAATGAGTATTTACTTTCTTTTACATATATGACATCAGTATATCTATCAATATTTATAGAAGTAGAGTACTAGTATATTTTTTTATCCTTTCATTAGGCCAACATGCGGGATTTGTTCAGATATTCTAATGTTGTTTTTGTTTGTCCTCTGTGCTCCTTTTGGTTGGTCTCGCTGTTTTTTCTTGACAAATTTTTTGGGAATAAGAGTTTATTACCTCAGTTATTTTTCTAAAATCTTACAATGGCAATCAGCGAAAAGAACTTGAGAGTTGAGGTTTCACTTTTGCTTAGCTACACTGCACTTACTCACAAAATTGCTATCACGGTTTTGTCATTTTGTCAATAGGGGCATTTTCTGTCTCCGCTAAAAGTGCGGTGGTTCACCCTACAAGTGGAGAGTAGCAAAGTAGGAGCACACTTTGCTTGTTTGCATGTGAGGAACTTTTGTTATTTGATCCAAAATATATACTTCGTATATGTATGTGTATGCGTGTGTATGTATGCATATGTGTATATTATATACACATATTATATGCTTGGATGACTAATGACTTTGATATATTTTGTTATATACTACAAATTGAATCATTCTCTTTTTTAGTAACAGAGTCTCACGCAGAAGTTGGATGTTTTGAGATATCATGGTGGCAGTAAAGCAAGAGCCTGTTGTAGTTTCACTGAAGCTGTTGGTAGATGACAAGATCAAACGAGTTGTTGCTGCCGAAGCAAACAAGGACTTTGTGGATATTCTTTTTAGCTTTCTTACCCTCCCAATGGGGACCATTATCAGGCTCACCAGCAGCTCTACACAGCTGGCTGAAACACCGGTAAGTATTGGATGTATGAACAAGATATACCAAGGTGTTGAAAACCTAGACAGAGAGTATTGGCAAACTGAACACTGCAAGACCATGCTATTGAATCCAAGAAATTCCCTTGTGGAGTACTGCAAGAAATTGAACATTAATATTGACGATTCTGGATCCGAATTCAAATATGGCTGTCCTAGGGAGAGCTGCCTATATTATAGCATGTACCGAAATGTTAGCTGCGGTTGTGGCAGTGGGAAGACCACAGAAGAAAGGAAGCCCGTTGAAAAAAGGAAGCGCATTGAAGAGAATGTCTCAAGTCGAGAGGGTGCCTTTTTGAAGGGAGGAATAGTGTTCATAATCAGTGACGATTTGCAGGTCAGGCCTGCCTCTCCGGCAGTTCTTGCTCAACTTATACCCGACATCGGTTCAAGAGAAGGGAGTAACATCAGAGAGATGCGTGTCGAAGTTTCCAGGGATGAGGTAATACACTACTCATCTCTCTTTATTTATGAATTTATGTGTTTTATTATTAAGAATTATGAGCTTTGATGAATGGTAAATCTCTCCCAAATTCGTCATAATATTTAGATTAGTATGAACAGTTAAAATTCATATACCTAAAGAGTTCAATAAAAATTATGTTATGTGTGTACTTTAAGTTATGTTAAAATTTCAATATTTAAACTCGGATAATAAAAAGTAGGAAAAATTGAAAATAATAATCTCAAGTATTACCGGTCTGCTATTAATGATCCTAATTGTCAATTATTCCTTGGTGGTCCCCACTGGCTACAACCTGATATAGCAGATCCTTTTTAAATGAGAACTAATCTATAAATAATCTCAATTATAATCTTTTTTTTGGAAGTTGTAGAAATATTTTTATAAATTTTCAAACTAAATTTTTTCAAACATGTAAAATAATTTCAAAAATCTATAAATGTACTGAGGTTAATAACAATGCCCTTACCCCTTAGTCATTTTCCTTCTTTTTTTCTTTCTTTTCCCTATTTGTTTTTCACAATTGTGTTACCAATATACTACGTATGATTTTGTATTATGTTTCTTTATTAAAATTTACATTCTTTGTTATAAAAAATATATAGCGATTTAAAATTTAAGGATCTTCCCTTTTTATAAATGATATGATATAGTTTATCGTTTAAACTTTTGGATTTAGGTTATAGGTTTTGGCTATGTTTAATGAAAAGTTATTAATATTTAAGTTAAAGTGTTAGCATGAAAATTTTCATAAATATCTGCCATCATTGTGGCCCGTGGCAAAATTTTCATAGTCTAACTAAAGAAATACTTTTTCCCGCTAAGATAGTCCTATTTTTCCTTTTAGTCATTCCCACTAAGATTGCCTCGATCGAATTTGCAATGTCTATGTAGTTGTAAATAATTTTTAATTTATTCTTATTTTATCAATTCAAGAGGACTTTTCATGTCCAGCCGGCCTGACGGGAACCGCCGTCCGGCCGAGGGCATTTCGGGCACTTCCCGGTGGAATATTTTGATGAAATTTTTTGAGCATGTTATTCATGAAGTCTAGTTTATCCATACCAAATTTCAGCTAAAAATTCAATCGGGAAGACACTCAAATAATTTCTTGAAGTTAACTGGGCAGTTCATACATATAAACTGCCCAGTTAACTTCACAAAATTATTTGAATGCCTTCCCGATCGAATTTTGAGCTGAAATTTGGTATGGATAAACTAGACTTCATGAAGAACATGCTCAAAAAATTTCATCAAAAAATTCCACCGGGAAGTGCCCGAAATGCCCTCGGCCGTACGGAGCATCCCGTCAGGCCGGCTGGACAAGAACGGCACTCATCAATTCAATACCATCCATACAAATTGACTTTTAAAAATAAACGCACCAATCCTTCATGTACCAAACATAGGGGGGACGGAGGTAGTACTACTTAGTGGTACCTGAATCTCTATTTTCTGACAATGGATGATTAAAGAAAAATCAATGGTTTAGTGTATAAGGTCTTATGGTCAAGTTGAGTGGTTCAAATCAAGACCTGAATTTGATCACTTTGCAGGTTGTCTGCCTGTTTGCACACTCATTGGTTTCAGAGACTCCCTTAAGTGATGTTTTTCTTGCAAAACTTCCTGGATATGCAAGAGTGGGAACCCAAAGAAAACCGCCGAAACTGGGGACCATTCTTTCATCCTCAACTACTGCCGCGGTTGATACTGCTGAACGGAATGGTCCTAGTCTGGAACTTAAATTGACGTTTGTCAAGTCTACAAAGAAGATATTGTATGCTGAAGCAACAAATAAGTTCTTTGATTTCCTCTGCAGCTTTCTGACCATTCCTGTTGGATCAATGATACATGTTTTGGAAAGACAGTCGGGGTTAAAATGTTTGGATAACTTATACACAAGTGTGCTGGAGTTGGAGCAGAAATGGTTTCATTCGTCAAATAAGTGTGGCTTACTCAACCCAAACATTGCAGCACATCATAACTGCAAGAAGCAGCCTCTCAGATCTGTTAATACCAGTTATACTTATACTCGTAGTTATTATTATGATGATGAGCCTGAGATGATTGACCCTAGGGGCGACAAAAAGAAGTTTGCGGTAAAACCATCTTTGTTCTTGGTTCCGGATGATTTAGAAGTGAAGCCACTCTCTGTTGCCTCCTGTCTCCTCATATTAAATGAATTAGAAATTCCTTTCGATCAGACTGAAGAGCAACAGGTCACTGTAGGTATGAAAGAGGTAAACAATTAACCGCTCTTCAGTGCTGATTTAATATTTTAAATACTTGGACACTATAAGTTTGAACTTTTTTAACCATGCTAAGTTCCAACAGGCGATGAGCTTACTGAAGGCTGCTCTTACGTCACCCTCATCTGCTCTTACAAAGGGCTTAGGCCCCTTCTTGCAGAAGCAGAAACCGTAGCACCGCCATCTACCCATGTCCCATTGAAAGTCTTGGCGAGAGCTTCAAGTTTTGTAATGAAATCCTAGGAAGCTCAGCTATATTTATTTATCAATTATCTCCATTATCTCAAGAATGTTATTCAAGTGGTTTTTGCTCTCCGTATCCTAGTACTTTAAACCCAACTTTTTTGGGTATCCTATAACACTCTGTTTAAAAGTTCAATTGGATCTTCATTTCTGTCTTCCCTTTACTCTTAGATACAATCAAATACCCAACTTTGTCTCTTCATTTGGTACTAAAGAGACAAGAGGAATAGTGTTAGAATTAGAATGGAGAGATATGGTTGCCATTTCAGAAGCAGAAGAGGATGAAGAAGCTTCAATTGTGGAATTGGAATTGGAAACATAACAAGAATGAGAGGGAGTGGTCGTTGGAGGCTGATTATTTGCTAAATTAGTGGTTTGGTTTGGTTTGGGTTAACTTAAGTACACCATTTGGTAAGAATTTGCCCAAACCGAATGGGTTTGGTGTGTTTTAAAACCGAAAAACCGTAAACTAGGCATGGAGCCGGGCTGGGCCTTTTGTGGTTGGGGGAAGGCCCGGGACCGGCCCGGGTTGCCACCGGGCCGGGTTGCCACCGGGCCGGGCTGGGTCTCGGGCCAGTTTTTATTTTTTTCTCTTCTAAATGCCCCCCCGCCCCCCCCCTCACCCCACCCCACCCCACCCCCAAACCACCCCAAATGGCCCAAAATACCCAGCCCAACCCGAGAAATTTAAAAAAAAATTGAAAAAAAAAGAATAAAGCCCGAACTGAACCTTGTCCCTTGAATTTCTCCAAAAAAGGTTGAATCCCTAACCCCAAAGCCCCCATGCCCCGACTCGACAAGGCACGTATGGAAGGATGTAAATCATGACGACTCAATTAGCCCAATGGTGGTAAGATTTATATTCGTGTGCACCAAAGATCCAACCCAGCACACAGGAATGGTAAACTTTACACGGTCGTTGCAGGTTTCGAACCTTGGTCATTCATCCAATTTTTCCACCACTCAACAAACTGAGCTACCAGTGTGGGAACAAGTATCGCCTCTCGTGTGGGAACAATTGAGCTACCGGTGCGGGAACAGGAATAGGGATGAAAAACAGGACTTAAGTGTCGGTTCGTTTTAAGTTATTTCGATTGCAAAAAATAAAAGCGATTTGTGCAAGATTGGATTTGGAAAATAAATTGCAGCAAGAGTAAACTAAAATACTTTGTTCTAACAATCGAATGTCAAAAAGGGAACTTGAATTGATTTCGTAACAAACAGAATTTAGAAAGTAATTATGGCTATGGATGGACCCGGGCCGGTTCGGGCCCGGTTCGGGCCTAGGCCCGGCCGGGCCTCGGGTCTGTTTTGTTGGGCCCGAGCCCGAACCGGTGGCCACCGGTTCCGGGTCCGGTTCCGGGCCGGACCGGGCCGGGCCGGTCGGGCCACCCGTTTCAATTTTTTTTTTCTTCCTTTCTTCCCCCACCCCCCCCACCCCCCACCCTTCCAAACCCCCCCAAACCGGCCTAAACAGATATCCCAAGCCCAACAGCCCAAAACAAATGAAAAAAATTAAAAAAAAAATAGATTTGGCCCGGACCCGGGCCCGAACCGGCCGGGCCGGGCCGTCAAAACCATGAACCGAGCCCGGAACCGCCCCACCCCCGGGCCTCCGGCCCGAACCGGACCCGGACCCGGATAACCGGGCCGGGCCGGGCCCGCACAGTAGCGGGTCGGGCCGGTCCCGGGCCGGGCGGCCCGAACCGAGGCCATGCCTAATTATGGCTAATCACATGAAAAACACTTAATTGAGCAACTCTATCATGCCACTACTAAATTCCTATCGATCTGACACCATAAAATACAATAGTTTTGAGAGCAAGACTGATCTCTCATTGTTACCAAACAAGCGAGCATATGCCTCTATATAGTTGTGTTAATCTCTTAGCGAGTGATGTGGGTGAAGTGTCCTAGAACAATTTAGATCCCTCTTAAATTATTTTATATGTGATTATGAGCTTGATGGTCATTCCAAGTTGTAAACGATAATAGTTAAATTATCCAATCACAAATCAAATAAGAATTGTGCAATTAATCTGTCAAGAATGAAGCCCTACATCATATGAACACCCCTTCATCAATCCCAAATTTCTAAATAAAACGACTCGTTATTCATAATTGCATGAACATAGAATTGGGAAGGAATAAAATACTTGTCATTAATCGAAATTAGGAAATTATAAACAAACCTCAAAATTAGTTATTTTAGAGCTAGCAACAATGAATTATCATCCAAGACCTATTTCTAAACTTCCTAACCTAAAACCTAAGGTCTAAAAATGAAAATTTTGGAATTGGATCGACCTTGGTTGGGCACGGTCATACGCATGATATTTGTGGACCGTGTGCACATAATATAAAATTCTGACCCCTGTGGCTCATGCTCGTCTCTTGCCCAATTTCTAGTTTTCATCGATATTCTCATGCCCACACAGCACCACACACGATGCGTGTGCCTATGCGCGTACATGTTTCTACTTTCAAAATTTGGCTTTGACTCCTTTATTAAAGTTGTATCTAAACAAGTCTTCAATCCACCACATTTAAATCACTTGATTTGGATCATAAAATAAAAAGATAGGGTTGAAATGGTAAAAGGTGTTCATCTTGAATTCTCAGCTCAACCACAATTGTCGAACTTGCTCGTCTGATTTCACCTTGATACTCTCATATTCTCGTTATGGTGTCATTGCAAGATATCCTCCTCATGGAATTAACTCTCTCATGAATCTAGAATGGTTTTGTACAAATTCAGTATCTAATTTAACTCTCCTTCTTCATCTCCAAATTTCATATTGAGTTATTTTTCCTCTAAAAACTGATAAATCTTTTCTGAAAATACAAATACTTGCGTAAAATACGATAAATCAAATCTTAACATAATAATGCAAGAAATTATTCTAGGAATGTGTAAAAATGACTCTCTTCCACATATTAAAGTGTGTTGGAATAAAAGTTTATCAGCAGCAATCAGGAAGTAATTAATTAAGTTGTTTATGAAATGATATATCTGATCATTCAATCGAAAGGTATATATCCCCCAATTCCGTCAACACAGCTATTTGTCATAGTTGTAAACCATATTCGACGTGAACGTGAAAGTGTTGTTATACCTTCGGACACATGATTGAAAGTGTTTCAATAGAGGGTCAAACAAAGTAAATTAACGTTATAGTTGGCATTTCAGTTGATATAAGAAAGAATTCACCCCGACTACAACAAATAACAGACAGTTCATATTGGAGTTGACATGGGTGTGCCAAAACAAGCAATCAGAATGAGATTTAGGGAGTGGGTTTCACGATCGGGAGAAGAATAACTCATGCCTCCACGACTAGATTTTTGTAAGACAAATGGTTCTAATTGACAATATAGATTAGTGGAACAAATGGGTGAGGAGATACAACGAAATGAGTTTCCGGGAATACATTAATGTGTACCATTTCTAGCAATGTGCGATCAATATGATAGTGTGGACAATCACATCAATAGGGAAAAGACATTTAATAGGGCACACAGAAAATATGGACATACACATGTTGTTATGACATATGGGTTGTAAATAAGAGGAGTAATAGTTGGCGCAAATGAAAAAGATTAGTCAGTGGTAAGGAAGGAAGTGAAAACTGCATGTAACGTCAACACATTTATTAATGTAGACTTGTACGTTTTCTATAAGATTGGGGCGGGACAGAAGGGTTTTAAGCATGGTCAAGCTGACTGCGATGCTGAAGAACCTTTTCTTCATAAGCGAAACAATGATGACCATTGCGACGTTCACATTGCCCTTTTGGAGGGACAACTATCACAAAACCAAGAGTGCACATCATCAATGGAATATTTTAGTGGGAACTATCAATATATGGGATTTACAATCCTTAAAGCTAACATTAGGAATATGAACGCCAAAGCATACCAACATGTATACCAAAGTAAACAATGTATTCATAACACTTTTCAACACCTCCCCATGGAGTAGAAATGAGGATATAGACATATATTGCAAGTACACATTCGAACACAAAAAAGCACACAACAATCAATTCATACCATAAGAAAAGACAAAAGAATCCAAAGTATGAGATTAAAGTTCATAGAAAAAGATCGGAAATCGTGTAATTTTGAGCAAGCACTTGGAACGGAAGGAAAGTAATTACAAAGGATGGCCTCACCGTACCCCTACGACCAACAAATCTGTAAACAAACACAAGCCGCAAGAATACACACAAACTAATTAAATAAACACTAACCAAGCATTCCATCCCAGCTGGTTGTGAGGTTACCGTGCCTAGTAGGAGGTCTCGAGTTCGAAACCCGCTAGGCACACAAGGGTTTGAAACTCAATGGAGTGAGTTTCAGGCCTGATTACTCCAGGCTCCCCTCAGACCCCCTGGAATAAAAAAAAACTAATTACATAAACACCCTAAAAAAACAATTTATTTCATCTTGCCTTAGTCGGGCCCTACATGCACACAAGGGCAGGTCCAAAATTCCAATATCAAATCAAGGGAGAGAGAAAACAAAAGACCATAAATCAACACTAAAAGAGAAGTTTGATTCAAGAGCTTCTCATTAAAATTATTCCCTAAACTCGGAGGCCAACAAAATTAGTTAGTAAAACGCAACATATACGCCGCACAAACCACACAAGACTATATCTCACCACACCATGTCTGGTCTTAAATTCTACAAAGGATTCCTAAACATTCCACACCCTTGTTAACTTTCTGCATGAAAGCGGAATGCATAGTATGCCCCAACAACAAAAATAAGACAGAGAGGAACAAAAAAATAGCAACATGACCAAACAATCTATGCTAGTCGTACGAAACCAAAGTTACTGGCAAAACAAAATTTTCCCATCCACACAATAACTAACTAAACCACAACCCTAAAAGGGATAATGCCCAGGGAATTCACAAAAACCATCATCATGAAAACATAAAGCAGTTGAAGGGAAGGGAAAAACAAACGAAAAATATTCACTCCCTGACCACATTGAGTGGAATATTTGACCATCGTAACTGTCCTATGGCTAGGAAGTAAAATGAACCAACCTTCAATTAAAAAAGCCATATACAATTTTTGGAAGTCAAGGGCCCCTGAGCACATGAAAAATGAGCACCAAATACAAAGGAAGAACAAACAAAAAGACCAAACACACAACATGAAGACAAACAAAGGGAAGCAA